TAATCCAATGATGAGCTTCAGACCAAATTAACTGAAGGATACATGCAATTTGTTAAATTAACTGTAATGAAGATGTTCCTTCAGAATACAAAAAGATGCGTTTTTAAGTGTAATCATGTTATAAATATAGACTAGTACTTTCAACATTCTCACATTTATCCACATTTTTACGCGATTACAATTTTAATGGTTATGATAATAATGCAATATAATAATAATTTGATAATCTAACAATTTTATTTTCATCATTCATTATATCGTCGTTGCTTACGAGTAAAAACACAGTGAAAAACGCTACGAAAAAAAACATACTGATAAAATGCCCTGAACAAAAACACAGCTCATTCAATGCCGTGAAAAAAAACACACCTCATCGGAGCGCCACGAAAAAAAACACACCTTATTGAATGCCATGAAAAAAAACACAGCACATTGGATGCCGTGAAAAAAAAACACAGCAAATTGGATGCCGCGAAAAAAAACCCAACAAGTTTCGATGCGGTGTGTTTTTTTCGCGGCATCCAATGTGCTGTATTTTTTTCATGGCATTCAATTAGGTGTGTTTTTTTTCGCAGCGCTCCGATGAGGTGTGTTTTTTTTTCGCAGCGCTCCGATGAGGTGTTCTTTTTTTCGCAGTGCTCCGAAGAGGTGTGTTTTTTTTCATGGTATCCAAAGAGGTGTGTTTTTTTTCACGGCGCTTCGATGATGTGTGTTTTTACTCGTAAGCAACGGCGAATATGTCTCAGTGGAGTATATTTACAAGAAGCGCAATCAATCCAGAAACGAGAGGACAGATTTAGTGTGTATCAATGTGTTTGGTTTTTAATGCCGTATTCCCTGCAATCACACACAAATATATATGCACTCGTACATAGACATAATAATTAATTATTTACTTAAAATTGGGCACGATAATACTGTCGTTAGTAATATAATGCCCTAAGTCTTGCATGATCCAGTGCTTTTAAGCCCTCTTAAAGTGAGTCTTCTCGTGATTTTTTTTGTTTGATGAATCTAATGTTCCTTAAAATGCATGAATGATTTTGTGAATGTTTTCTTGCCTATTATTTTCCAAATACAAGGCAGTTATAATTTATTGTTTAATTATGCACTCATTTGAATAGTATATTGGATGAGTTGAATTTACAATTATGTAGACAAAATGATGTTTAGTATACCCGATATTGATCTTTGCCTAAAGCACTCCATGTATTTTATTTTCAGTACCCAAAATAACGTATAAATTATTTTTTTAACGTATGTCGTTACATGAAATATTTATATGTAATAGTTTTATTTAATTTAAGTCTTTATAATATGGACAAGCGACCCCAAGCTCATTCAGATATGAGGTCCGTGCATTTATATATCAATTCATATTTTAAATTATTTTTTCATTATTACTCTATTTCTCAATCATTCATTTTACAACTGACATATGAACTCAGTTTAATCAGAATATAGTGATTTTACATCTTTAAGAATTTAAAAATGCTCCGATCAATTTTAAGTAAACAAGGGTTAAGCTTAGAATGCATTTCACCTTAAAAGTCGAAAACATCTAGAACAATTTAATTGTATGCTCATTCTTTTAATTTTCACTACATTTAAATGCACCCATTATTATCAATTTGCATTTTTGAAATATTATGGAACCATTATGTCGATCGTATAATTTTTTCAAAATTAGACAGACGAGCTTTTACATCATTATTTTCAAAAGGATTTTTAAATTGTACAACTAAACTGATACTGACTGTCTAGTCATATTATAAAAAAATAATGAATAAGTAAATGAATAAATGGAAAAAATTGAAGAAAAATCATCGGTTGCACACTTAACATTATATGTGGGCTTGGGTTACTACATAGTGCAATCGAAATCTTTTTCGCGTTTAATGACGGTAGAAATTAGACCAATTATCGACAAATGAAGAGAGCATATTGAGCTCAACCGTTTTGGAAGAGCATGAATGAAAAAAACTGTTAGCGATATTATGCGAGGAACTGATACATCGACAGTGACAAGTTAATGATGATAAAAAATAAATGCATTCACAGAGGTTTAACGAGTGTGACTTAATGATTGCTTTTATTCATAATATAGTAAATAGAATTAAACTTAAGATATTTTTGCGAATAAAATTTTCTTGCTTTCTTTTTTGTATACAATATATATCACAATATTCTCATGAGGCACATGCATACGCTCGCACTTGCAGCACAAACACACGCTGAGAAATACCCATACACACGCACACACACGCGCGCACACAAACAAGATACGTCGAGAATGAGAAACTTCGTTTGCACAGATTTACAGTTTGCTTCCTTTCCTTTACTTTTTTCTAACGTTCTGATGTACAAAGATACGCACTTTCGGCTTTTGCAGCTAAATAACATTAATAATAATAAGTATGCATATGAATGTTTTTTTATATTTATATATAGATATATATGTAAATGAATGATCAATAAAGAACATGGGGTGGCATCTATACACGTGCTGCTATTCCCTATAGTCGACAAAGAGTTCTTGTTGTGTGTTTGTATGTGTTTCTTAGTTTATTTATTTTCTTATTAAAATTACTTAATTAAGATTATCATCGTGGTAAATTTGCAGAACGTTTTTTTTCTGAAAAATAATCGCCGTGATATCACGTTGATCGCGCGCGGCTATAATATGGTTTATATACAAGTTGCTTTGCCTATGCTGGGCTCACTTTTTAGTCTAAATTTGATTTGTTTCTCAATTTCATATCACTTATGTACCAAAATTCTTGGTGATTCATTAAGATAAAAACGTTTATTAGTCAAGGCAATTTCAACTTGCCAACGCATGAGCTGTGACAAGTTTATTTTCGCTTAATCATATGTAAAATTTCACTCTCAAATTTTTTTATTGTTTGAATTCGATTAGATATAATCGAGTATCAAAAATATCGCATAGCTCTTTTTTTCACTTATTTTTACTTTTTTTTACCTTAATTAAGTTTTTACTGCCAATTTTTATATTTTTACAAATGTCCGAGTCCAGCATGAGCAACGCTTAAAAATGCATTTCATCCATTTTCACAAAGCTTCACAGCTAAAATATCAACATGTATCGTTTTTATTTTATACACTCTGGTGCACGGGTTATTTATTATTTGCAGCACATTTTTAAAAGGAAGAATCTGACGAAATCGACGCCGAGCGAGCTAAAGGTTTACCGCGACAGAATAAGCGCGTATCTTTTATACGATCGAGTAAAATGGAGAGATGCTTGTTTTTCTTTTCCTATATATACCAAAATATAATATATATATATGCATCATAAACATTTATTATGCGCCAAAGTCTACGATTATGTATGTGTAGTTGTGTTTATATTTCATAATATGTAATTTTATATTATAAGTATTAGCTCTCGTTTTCATGCGTTTTCTTCAGACTTTCAAATTGATAAAAAATGAAGGAAAAAAAAGATTGATGAAACAAATTATTTTATAAAATATAGAGATGCGTTGTCGGCATGTGGCGATTCGAAATTTATAGACTGAATAAATTCAAAAATTTGCGGGAATGACCGATTTTTCTTTAGTAAGGCCGACAATTCACTTTGGCAGTATATTTAATTATCAATGTATTTATATATAATATAATTATACAATAAGCAGCTGGTAACTTTACGTTGGTTTTCGACCTTCTATTTCCTGTCATGCTCCACAAAGAGTCAAACAGGAAATACAGTCGGTTCTTTTCATTAAATTTACTTTTAAAGAACTAAGTTCTACAAACATATTAACAACAATATTACAATGTAATGAACAATGGTAACAATCACGCGTTCGACATTATGTTTTATTTGTAAATGTTTATGTTTGTGAGTGAAAGTTGATGAGTTTTTTTGTTTTTCAAAAGTCATTATATCTACGAAACCACGAAACGTTTTCTTTACGATTATTACTAAATTTTTTCTCGACGCAAAAAGTTGTGTACGAGTGTTAATGAGTGTGTTTGTGTGTATGTATAATAATAGTGTATTTAACATATATTTATGCTTATATAACGATTTTTTAAATCTTTATTAGCGATATAATATATATCATTATATGTAATATATATGTACTATATATGTATTATATATAATATATATGTACATTTATCGAGGTGGCAGCCATAATTTAGTTTTTTTTTAGTCCGGATGAAATTTTGCGCACGTATCATATCATCGTCATATTATATATAATTATTCATATTATATATAAATTAAACACATTTGTGGTATCCCCAGGACGCTGACATTTATGAAACAGAGTCAATTTTATCCATCTATATATAATATCATATCGTAATATACATAAATATGTATAATAATAACTTTGCTGTACAAGACGTACGTACACACACAATTACACAGACACTTGCATGTTGTGTACGTATGTGCGTACATGTGTATATAAAATGTGAGTTTTGAAAAGGATTTATTATTGCGCATCCATGCGTACATGATTCTCCTGAATGATGAGCGATCAAATGTTGTTTTTGTATGTGCTGTTATACGATTGTTGTACAATGTTTATAATTATGGTAATTTCTTATATGTACATATGTATATATATATACATATATAATATATATGTATTACTTTAAAATGGCTGTGTATTTTTATTGTGGTCGGAGCTATAGAGATCTCTCGATTTAAGGAGACTCTTATAGGGATCGTGTAGAAGAACACAAAAACTCACGATAACTTTATGCTTATAAGCCATGTGTTTAACCATCGAATTAGAATAATTATGTTTAATTGTGAACACACAACAAAGTTAGTAGTAAGTTATTCTGCTTTTCACTGCGTACAGAAATATATATTCATTATGTATAATATATATATAATATATATTAATTTTTTTGCATAATATATAGTCTTTTAGTTTCGATAATAAAAAAATTCAGTCCATTTCTGTTTCGTGACATTTTTTCATTTTTAATCTTTGTTTATCATTCCTCTCGTAAACGTCAAAAATGTATACCAGAATATTTGTCTAATTCGGGCCAATTTTTTTCGCGTGTGTTCACGATTCGCCTGGTTGACGTTACATGCCACTGGATCGTGTGTTATTTTTTTGCTTGTTTGTCTTAATTTTTGCGCCGTATTTAATTGATTCACAACTCGCTCTATCATCTTTCATTCACTTTTGCACTTTTGCTTAAATTTTATACAATACACAATTAATCGTTTCCATTCACTCGGCTATTTAAAAATCCTTATCTATCTACTATGTATAATGTACGTATAAGTTATTATACTCTAGTAATTATAATAATATTTATAAATATTTACATTGTATAACCGCATGATTCGGCGTTCGGTGCCGCGCGAAGTTTTTGGTGAGTTCGCCGGAGCTGTGGTGAAATTCAATGATAGCTGTAGCTTATTATCATCGAGTTACTGAGTTCAAGAGGAAAGGAACGTAAAACATTTTGCTCTCGAGCAGTAAGCCCGCTGCCGCTTGTATCTGAAATAAAAAGACGATTTTTTTGATCACAATAAACGAGGCTAAGGTGGCATTCATACTTTGGTGGCGAACAAACTTTGGGCAACACTTACTTCGCTCATCCGTCCCATTAGTTCGTTAAAACGATTATGCTGATTGGGATAGGTGCTCTCGACAAAGTGTTTCAAGCAGTTTTTATAGCGCACTTGTATCTGCTCCAAGTCAGCCGTATCTCGCCGGGAGAAGGAACGTGGTTCTTTGAGAAATTGACATAAATTATTAACTTGCATTTGTAAATTTAGCCAAAAAATAGGGCAAAGGCAGAAATAATTACCATGAAGCAAGATGATGATTTTTAAACAGACGTACTCCTCGGTTCGCAGCTTGATTTTGCGAAACGTACTTGTGACGCAAGTTATCCTCTCGATCATGAGGCCAACGTCTTGCTTCAGTTGTTCCATCGTTATGGGCCAGCCCATCATTTGTGAAAGACACGCTTGCAACGTATACATGTTATCCGCGACCTGATGGAGGGCAAAAGAAAAGATGCCAATAGTGGAAAGTGTGAAAAGTCGAGGAGTAAATGAGCATACCTCGCTGATGAATTCACATTTGTCGTCGTCGTGACCGGAACTCAAGACCTTGGGCGGCTGACCGTGTATCGCTTGGTAAGCCGAGGTCGTCAGGACCAGTAGCTCGTGCCACTTGTGCGTGAGCAGCTTCGTGTGAACTTGGACCGGCAGCTCGAGATAGAACGGTAATCTCTTGGTCCACTCGACGAGTTTGTAAACGATACTGTCACCGATTTGGCAGAGCTTCTCGCTCAGCTCGCGGTTCTTGTTGTCCAGTAGATCGCCCAGGTTCTGCAAAGCCAAGTAAATTCTTGTAAATATCCGATCGCGTCAACGCTTGTACGATTTTACCTCGTCAAATCGCGTAAAATTTACTTTACCTGTAACGTAGCGATGTCTTGAAACTCGTCACAATCTATTAGAGCCTGAATCATGCTCGTATTGTCATAAGGAAAAGCTCGATCTCGTGAACTGCTGACGGCGTTGTCTAGCCTCTGGCGTAAATGCGAAACCTGCATAAAAAGAAAAGCCTTAGTTCCGTAACTCATTGAAAAGCCAATTCCGTGTTTTAAAGACGTGCTCGTCGATCAGACGTACTTCTACCGTGAGTGCAAGCAATGGATCGACGATAATCTTTATACATTTCTAATTGCAGGGCTAGAAGTGTCAAGCAGGATATGATGTAACACTACTGACTAGTGCATGCTTAACTGCCTACTGTTATGGAGAAAATAGTCAGGTATTAAGGGTTCACCTAGTCGAGCAAGCTGAACTGTTTAGTCTCTATTTTTTAGGATCAACCTTCCGACTCAGACTTACTCCGTACTTTTTAATTTTTTCCTTTTCATTTATTTATATTCATTTCATGATTATTATAATTATTTGTTTTTCAAGCGCTATACGGAAAATCTTGTCTCTTTTTTCATAAGATTACATCGAATTTCAAGTTCATTTTGGGAAATACTGTATACAATTAATCTAATATTAAATTTCTTTGAAATTGACTATTTTAACATAAATTTATCATAAAATTTTTGTTTAATTAACAACTTTTTCAAACGGCTGAGCTTTGTATGTAAAAACTAAAAAATTATATTTGTAAAATCGAAAGCGAAAGTCAAAAACTGGCATCGGAAATGTACGAGATCACGAAGTATAAGGACGTTGCACACACATGCACATACACAAGCACAGAAGAAGGCGAAATTTTATTTGAACAGACTTTTAGCGAAGCAGCCCAGATCGCATCGAGCATGTGTGTGTGTGTGTGTGTGTGTGTGTCGAAGTACGGGTATTCGTGGGGTCAGTGTCCGTTCGCGGCCGTATGGGATATATAATACTTTCACGAGTTACGAAACACGCCGAATTCGGAGCGCAGCTTGCAAACACACAAATACTCATACAGGCATAAACATGTGCATAGCCGAAAGTATCAAACTGAAGAACCAACCGTCCTTGGCTTTTTCGAATTTTTACTCTTTGTTAGAGTCTCTCTTTCTGTCTCTCCTCTTTCCCTCTCTTTTATTTTATTTTATTTTTTGCTCGCGAGAAGTCAGGAGCAGGTTTTGCTTCTAGTATGCTATTTGCCGCTTGTTATGTCACTTGTTCATTCGATATTCATAGGTCAGAAGTTCGGAGCGATGATTAAGTCGTTAGAAAGTGATTATGCTACTTCTAATCTGGCGAGTTCATCGACATCCAGTGGCATAATTTCCGCTCGGAATAGAGTCGCTGTTGGCGAATTTTTGTCGGATTATTTTGTATGGATACATCGTTTACCGCACACAACATTACATTTACATATCTGCGCGACGGCTGCTATCGTTTCGAGCCATTACTATTCATACAGTCTAAAGGGTAATTGACACGATGCGGTGGCACACATATTAAATCAGTTTGTAGAAAGCGAAAACGTGTACGCGGCCAGTATCGGTACAAGTGAGTTCGGTCACCCAGCGAACGCAGCTTATTATCGGTTTCACTTTTGGCAATGGCCTCCAGTCCACCAGCAGCTGCTGCCTTCGCGCGGGCCTGGCGGTCAAGCTCGATTCTTTATCTGCCCGCTCCTCCTCTTGTTTTTTTCAACAACTATAACGTACGTATGCGTCGCGTCGCTGGCCTCTTACCTGTTACATGTAAACGAGATAATTCGCCGCAATCGACGAAAAAGGTAGTTTCGCGGCTCTCGGACTCGTCGGTGTCTCGATTATTTATCCGATGAAATGGCCTGACCGAGAAATTGAACGAGACGAAAGTGCGCCGACACGCATTTCAAATTCAATCGGTCACGCAATCGTGCGAGCTGCAGCCGCTTGTATTGTCGTGTCAAGTGAAATGCCATGTGCGCGTGCCCGAGACAAGTAGCGGAATTTTTCCAATGCATTTTTTTTTCTTTACACCTGAATCACTTAGTCTGGGCTCTAGCTTTTCTCAAATACTAGCCGTTTTACTGTCTTTGGTTTTTTTTCAACTACAATACAACGGTGGATCAGCAAATTTTGATTTTTACGCATATTTCACGTGTGCTTTTTTACGCGTTCACAAAGTTTAAAAATAATCCAATCTTGAAAAATGTAATCAATAAATAAAAAGTTTATTTCGTCAACAAAAGTTTCGCTCCCTCTCACAGTTCATTGGTTACTTTCGTAACGTATCAGGTTATAGGCACGCACATATAAAAACACACACACGCACACTCACACACGCGCGCGTACACACATACTCGTGGCGCTAAAAAAAACCTTGATTCCTTACGCAACTTTGTGCATGACTCGTGGGCATGCAGCACACTCACACACGCACACACACACACACACACACACACACACACACATGCATACGCGCCTGTTTATGGCTCGTGCTATCTCTGGGAAAGTAAAATCGCTGCCACTGAGGTTCATTCATCCAAACTTTCAGGTATAACAATCTTACGTAAGCGCATCGTTCTAAACTTCCCTGTATTGCTCGAATATTCTTCCTCGTGGCAAAAAAATTAATTAACTGCATTGGTTTCGTGCACGTAAAACTACCGAGCGTTGGGATTTAGAGGTATTGCCTTAGTGACTAATATTTTTTGAAATTATGTTTTAATTCGTTTTTTATCATTTACGAGTTACTTTTAAACGCGCTTCAATTTTTAGTCATGCTTGAAAAATATCGGTATATCCTATTTCGACTCGAGTCAAAAGTAACTCGACTGATCAGAAGTCGTTTTAAGCGGCTTCACTGTTTGGTCCATCAATTTTTTATAGGTAAAAAAAATAAAAAATAAAAAATAAAAATGAAGAAAATAAAGATAAGAATAATATAATAAAAAAATAAAAAATATTCTATAGATATCATTAGGGCGGTGAGCTTTGTTTTTAAAGAATAATTATTGAAGGCAGTTATAAAAAATAAAAAAAATAAAAAAATACAAATAAAAATAAGCATTCTTAACTATATTCATTATTGTTAGTGTCACAAATATCAAATCGATCAAATTATCGTGCTTAGGTTGGTTGGACAAATTTTGTAAAATGTAACGTGCAATAAATTATTCGTGTGTTTCTTTCTATCTACAGTAGGCGCCGTGGTAGATTAACCATCTGCTGACTCACTTCTGAGGGATTGGTAAGGGCAGTTTTCAGTATCGTTCCATTCACCAGATGGGTGACACCCGGATGTCCCGTTGTCGTCGGTTGTCCAGTCGTTGTAGGCTGACTCGGCGTCGGTTGTCCCGATTCACTGCCACCTGAACTGACTCTGGGTGGATGGCCGAAGCCCGCCGTTGGCAGCTGTTGAGCTTGGTGGTGTTGTTGCATCTGTTGTTGCATTTGCTGTTGATGTTGTTGTTGTAGATTATGCTGTTGCTGGTTGTGTATGGGCTGCTGCTGCTGTTGCTGGGGCTGCTGTTGCTGCTGCTGCTGCGGCTGTGGCATATGTTGTTGAGGATGATGCCTTCCAGCTGCAGTACCATTCACTGGAAGAGCATTGGCTACGTGACCAGGGGCAGAATTTGGAGTCAACGGTCCAAGAGCTGCCGCGGCCTGAGTAGCTTTCTGAGATTTCTTGTGCTTCTTGTATTTCACCTATTGGTCATGAATAATCGACAATTAATCATTTCTATTGCAGTTAAGCGTTGAATTTTTTATTGCTACTTTTGATTAGTATTGAACGTACTTTGTAAAGCTTGTACACGGCCCCAGAATTCCTTCCTCCAGGCATTCGGTCTTCCCTGACAGCCTGCAGTACCATGCCCTGCTCTATACACTTTTTGAATCGACAATACTGACACCTGTTCCTTTGAGACTTGGTGATGGCGCAGCCTCCATCTGCTACGCAAGTGTAGACGCGTCTATTTTGTACCGTCCTCTTAAAGAAACCCTTGCATCTGTTTCAGAAAAAGACGCGTCAACGATTGCCTTATATCTTTTCATTTGCGTCAATTTAAAAGTTACTTTTACTCACCCTTCGCAAGTTATTATTCCGTAATGCAATCCTGTTGCTCTGTCATCACAAATCATACATATCATCGGTGCTTCGTCCTCGTCGTGATCCGATTGAGGCGTTTGAGGTGGCTGATGCGGTTGTTGTATCCCGACAGCCAACACAGATCCATCGTTCCTTGCCATCGCTCCGTTTCTCGCCCACTGTTGGCCACCCGCAACTTGCTGATTATGCTGTTGCGAACCCGAGGCAGTCAGATTTAGGGCTTGGATCTGCTGGGCAGCCGGAAGTTGACTCATATCACCAGCCCAAAGCCTTTCCATGTTTAGAGGCGGTCCAGGCGAGTAATTAGACGTGCCCGAATTGTTGGAGTTTTGATTGTTGTTTGACAAGGATGAATTATTACTAGATTGGGACGATGGCGAGGGTAGCGGTGGTTTCCCTCGTGCCTCTTGACCGAGATTTAGCAGCAGCTGGGCTGCCGATTCCTGATCGTTGGATGAGCACGAAGCATTGGAAGTGGACGAGCTCGAAGCTGGCCAGCTCGGTGTGGCTACTACAGGGGGCGGCAGCGTTGGTTCTGTTGCTGGAGATGACCATATCATCGTTCTCACGCCCCCGACTTCGCCCATTATCACCGTAGGCGATGGTCGAGGTGCCGCAGGTGCCGCTCGTTGCGCCGGTGGTTTCATGTTCTCATCTGTAAAAATCATCGTAGATACTCATGAGTTCATGTTTGAGTATATTTTCTAAGTAATCCATTTAAAGTTTTAGCACGTAGTCGATACAAATCCAATCAATTTAGTTATGCAGTTTCTTTTTTAAATAAGTGCAACTATCAGACGAGTGCATATGGGTGTTCATTTCTCGTAACTCATGCAATGATTCTCGAAAGTTTTCAAATTCCCAAGAAAGCCCAAAATAAAAGTTTAAAAATATCACCTTCAAGATTATCAATTTTTTATCTAATAATTATGAGCAAAGCTGAGATAAAAACTTACTCAGAGAGCAAACGCTGTTATTAGGATTGGTCGATCCATTGCCATTATTTTGAGGATTGGTAGTTGTCAAGTGCTGACCGTTTCCCGTCACGAAATTTACGGCATTGCTAATGACACCGTTGATCAACCTCTGAGTGGCGAAATTCGTGACATTGTTGCCAGCCCAAAATTGGGGATGATTGAAAATTTGATTTGGTCCATGTGGAGAGAGCCTCGGTCGGGGGGAGCTTCGATGATGCACGTGACCATTGGGACTAGGACTGGCTCTGTATTGCAACGTTGGACTGTTCCTTGGTTGCTGAATGCCGTTGCTGTTGGTGAAGACGATGCTGCTCTGACTCGAAGTCAGAGTCGAAGTGATCGAGGAATTATTAGCAGATGTCGGCGTGGGATCGCCTCTCGTTCCACCACCGTCGAATACTGAATCACCAGTTTCTTGTTTGCACTGCAAACTGACGAGATTATTCGCGTTCCCAGCAGAAACCGACGATGGTAATTCCGGTCGAGTGTCGGCTACCGCCGGCGAACTGTGCTGTTGAGACGTCACCGTTGACTCCTGGTGCGCATGCGAATTCATCGGCGTGGACGACGCCGGAGAAGGAGGGGCTGATCTGTAGTAAGAATGAGAAATGTTTTGTAAGCGTTTTGTTTTTATGTTTTCAAGGGGCATTATTGATTTGAATTTACCTAGTTGGTGCTGGCGTACAAGATCTTTGATGTTGTTGTGACATTTGCTGTTGCTGCTTGTGCACCTGAATCTGCTGTAGCTGCAGCTTCTCGTCTACTTGTGTAGTAGCATTGATCAGTTGCATCTTACCACTGGCACTCGTGACAACAAGATCGGGAAAAACCGAGTCTGGCGACGCTCGTTCCGTCAAGGTATTATTGTCCTGTTGCTGCTGCTGTGGTTGTTGCTGTTGTTGCTGTTGTTGTTGTTTTTGTTGTGGTTGCTGTTGTTGTTGTGGTTGTTGTTGTTGTTGTTGTTGTTGTTGCTGATGTTGTTGTTGCTGCTGATGCTGCTGTTGCTGCTGTTGCTGCTGTTGCTGCTGTTGCTGCTGCTGTTGTTGTTGCTGTTGTTGTTGTTGTTGTTGTTGTTGTTGTTGTTGTTGCTGCTGCTGCTGCTGCTTCGTCCGTTGAGGCGTGGTGGCAGGATTATTACTGGATGGCGGTGGTTCTCGACTGCCAGGACTCGGACTGCCCCGCAAGTATTCGGATTTGACCTTGACGCTGAGCGGCGAACCAGGCATATTGGCATCGGGTGACGAGGTCGACGTATCCGCAACACTCTCCCCTAAGTGAGCAAAGGCACTCGTTATTCTGTTGGTTTGGCAGAACAAGGAAAGAGAAGGACGTCGGTTCGAACAGGGTTCCATCGCTAATGCCGCGTCTGGGCTATGGGGCTCGCTCCCATTACTAAGGGGACTTGCTGAATTGCCCATGTAAACTAATGAGTTCACATTTTCATTCTCGCATGAATCGCTCACGATACTCGATGCTGTCATGGAAATAATGGTTTGTCATATATCAAATTTTATTACATTTTCTTTTCATCAAGCGGAAATAAGGGAAAAAATTGTGAATAAATAGAATGATTAAATTAAAAAGCTAGGATTTAGATATTTTCAATAATTAGCAAATCGTTTCATTTGTTGCGTTATAGGTAAACGCGGTCGACAATCTATTAAAAATTGCTTCACTTTTTGCCTTAAACTGAAATGTCATCGGCATTAATTTGTCGGGAATCAATGATCTACACAAGCGATTACTGCTCAAATAAGACTTTTTTTAACCACGTATTTTAAGGTAGTGACCAATAACTGGAGCCACAGTTAAAATGAAAAAAAGACTCATTGTACACGTGCCGGAACGCGTTCGCCAGCACATTCAAGGTTGAAGGATTACTAGAATACACATGAGAAATTCGCACAAAGAAAAGATCTCGAGGAATTGGTTGGTCGGCATAAGTACTCGCACGAAAAATTTGAAGGACAGCAGAGCAACGCGGCTTGATTATTCATTCTCCGCTGACGAATTCTCAAGTTCAACGGTCGCGATAACGCTCGGCTCGTGGCACGTCTCTGAAAAATCGTTTATACTATATTGACCAATACAATGTAGCGCGCGTATTCGGCCTCGTTAATGATTCTCGCTCTGTCAAGTCGCCATAAAGCCACGAACGAGCTCGCACGTGCGCACGACTTGTGGGATCCGTGCTAAAATTTGCTTTACATATTACGCGGGATCGATCGGATCTTACATTCTTGGCGGAACAATCGATGCACCGCCAGCGACCGTTCGTTATATTCATGCGTCAGAGCATCCAACAGTTCGAGCCGAGTGAAACCCTAAAGGCATCGGAAGGCGCTTTAGCAGAATTGCGTCTTATGTTATCATTATTATCATTATTATTATCATTATTAAACGCGCCTATACGTAGCTAGCCGCTGTGAGTTTTTATAATGCAGTGCTCTCTAGTCGCCGCTGGCAGTGCATAAGAGTAGCTCGAGCTGTGTAGGTCAAGGAAGGAATGCAGCTGACAAGGCCACTGCACCGAGCGCCGCTTCGACGACGACCTGTACGCACACGAGATTACACGTCTATATGCGCCGCGATCTGTGAATGAGCCTGTATTATAAATTCACTCGCTCGAGATGTTGTCTATATACCGCGATAGTTGGCCGAGCCTTGCGGCAATTCGTATCGCTGCGGCAGACTATTGACTTACTCTCTGAAAACTGTTGTCGCTTTTCGCCTTGAATTTTGGCACTGTTTCGCTTTTTACAGCTAATCAAGTTTGTTTGTTTCCTCTCATGACCGATTTCAACTAAACATTTTTTTCTGCAACTGCTTCTATTCATAAGACAGTAAAAAAATTTAATTTTTTGTTGACTGAAAGCTTCTTATCTAATGTAAACTTTACTCTGTAATAAAACAACGAAATTTTCTTATGTGACTTTATCTACTCAAGCTATGGTATCATATTAACATTTTATGGTATTGATTTTTTAAATCAATAGTTAAAATTTTTATTCGTCATTTTTTGAACAAGAATGATGGTAAATAGAAAAAGTTAGCTCCGATTAATTGCGATTTTTCTTTAAATGTTAAACAACTGAAGAATTAAAAATACTCGATCGATCGTAAAAAAATCAATGAAACAAAAAAAACCGTGGATAAAACTAAATTTATCGATTTGATACTTCAGAAACGAAGCTTTTAAAAAAACATGGAAAAAAATTGATGTATAAACAAGAGGAAAGATGGATATGTGAAATCATAGATCGGTCTAGGACAATGAATGATAATTATCGAGCATTTTATGGGTAAAGAAAAAAAACGTGACCGATGACGGAGTGGCGAATACGCCTGAGGCCGCCTCACATAACGCAGCGCAGTAAGCGTTATACATTATAGATCGTGCGCGTTGTGCGAGCTGCGCGTCGTATGCGCGCGGAAATGCCGCCTGTGAGTCGTTCGCCTCGGATAATGCCGTTGAACCCGCAGTCCGAGGCCACAATCGCGTCGAAAGGACACTCGCGCTGTTGGTTTTTTCTCTCGCTCGCTATTATGACAGTCTTTCCACGATCGCGCATACAAAGATGTTATTATATGACTCGCTTTTATTTCTCTCTCTTTCTTGTTTAGCGAGATTTTCAACAGACAAGTACGAGCGGTGTGCCCGATTGTGTATCGACTTACTTAGAGGCATATTGATCTTTTCAATGGATTATGTAAGACTTTCTGATGATGTAACGATTAACATCTTCGCTGTGTAAAACTTGTAGCGAGTATTTTTTTCTCAACATTTTTAAGTTTAAACAAACGAATTTTACAGATTCCATTGGCAAAGTAATGAGCTTTTTTTGAGGCACGAGTGACTTTACGAAGAAAAACTTGAAGAAGCAAAATTAATTGCATTGCCTGACCGGATTAATATCTTTCTACTTAGAGAAGCGTTAGATAAGATCAGTAGTAAATTTCCTCTACAGTCAGACAACCATTTAAATCGATAATGCAACGTTTGGACTTACGTGAAAATTTAACAAATATATGCCATGTCCCATCTTGATTATTTAAAGGAAGTTATCAATGTCTTCGATCCCACTTGTAGAGGGCTAGTAATGGACTCTACAGTAACTGCTACTAGCAGTTCATTTAAACTCGATATTGTCTAATAGTTCATGTCAGTATTATTGGCGAGTTGAAGTGTTACCGAATCAGTTAAAAATGTTTCGGGAATACGTTTTTGAAAATGAATATTTTAATCGGGTTATCAAGTTATAGCGTAGAGATACAATTATTCTTTTTTTTTTGTTCACCCGCAAAAAAGTATTGGTTGATGGAATAGAGATGGATCATGAAGGAAAACGAAAGGATAAATTAGTTGACTTACCGTCACTACTACATCGAGAGTCGACTTTTCTCCTTTTCAACTTAAGGTCTTGAAACAAGCTCATGTTGTCTAGCTCACACGGGCTGCTCGTAAGGGTCATAATTCCTGTAACACAATTAAAGATCAGCTTTAATATAAAGTAATGAGTCAATAAAAAACATCAAGTACAGATAAAATACTAAAATTGGTAATAAGTACTATTGCAGCGCACAAATAGAATGAAAGAAGTTAAAACGCATTAAAACAGTAATTTTGAATATAAATATATATGGTTCATATTTAAGTGAAAACTATGACAAAACAATGGAATAATTATTTTGTCACAGCTCACTTATTTTTGTTGCCTTGATTACTCGATGACAAGTCACAAAAAACTCGCGCAACGACTACCCCAATCAGGTGCTTATGGACTTTGACTCGCTCTTTTCAGTATATCATTACGAAAATGGTGTAGCAGGATTTACCCATAATCGCAATAAAGAAAAGAGAGTTAGAGGGTGGGGGGCAGCTACAAATGATCGAGTGCGAATGTCGACGAGGGAAATAAAAATGGTACGACCTTAACCCCTCGCAAGAGGTCTGCTCGGCGTGAAAAAAATTTTTTACATTGCTTACGCTCACGATTACGCAAATTTTTAAAAAAACGAGTTGTGTTGCCATGCCGAGGGCAAATCGTTGCTGCCTGGCTCTACGTATGGCATACATTACGTATACACCATATAAGACTATAATAAGGCCTTTAATTCTGCAACAACTCGTAGTGTAAAAACAGCCAAGTTGGGGTTCTACGTGTACTGCGTTGTATTTATTTATGTATCTATTTGCGTTTTGGGTTGTTGCTCTTGATGAAATATTAAAAGTAGATTATTTTCTAGAATAAATTTTTTTTACAAATCCCATGATACGATCGTAAAGATTTAGCGCCACGCGCGTTTCTCAGAGTGAATTAAAGAAGTAGTGCTACATTGAAAAAAACAGTTGGTGCGAGTGCCATGCTCTAGAAGAGCGCGAACGCCGTTCATATGTAAACTTTGTTGGCTAGCAAATATGTTTCGTCATTTTTACATGTAACGACGTTTGTTTTCGTTTCGGTGACTTTTACGCGTAATTATAATCGTTATATCATCATTTTTTTACACTCGGTTGAATTTCGTTAAAGCGAGTTTTTTCATTCTGAATTGTTCGGGCTGTGTATTACATGGAGCGCTACGCGTATCTGGGCGAGCATATAATACCTACTTGCAGCGTGACGCAAAATCGCGCAGATACTCATATACACGTGTAACAGGCGCGAAAAAAGCGAAAGTCCCCACTGCGCCGAGGTATGGACGGATCAGTCGCGTGAATCGCGGTACGTCGCGAGCTCTATGCTAAATGGCTAAGCGACGATACAGGCACGGGATACACTGCATCAAGACGGAATCCACTGCCCTCGCTGCTTTCCTATCCTTGTCGCGCGCAGCAGCCTCGAGTCAGCACCATGCTAATACTCGGCCACATTATAACTAGGCAGCCGCACGAGTGCGTGCGTATATAGCTGTGTGCGTACGCTAAAACACTTTGCCAAGGTCTCGTCCATTGTGCGAGATTCGCGCCAACGAAGAATGCTTATTTGGCCGGTGTTGTGCAACGATCTGTTGAACTTTTGCTACTATGCGTTCGCACAGCTTGAAGCACATGTTGATTAAACACATAATGAAATGAATTCTGAAATTAATTTGCATGAAAGTTTTTCTGAAGAAGCTGCTCGAGAAGGAAGTCGCTCGTTGCGTTCCCAAACTAATTAATTATCCTCTTTTTTCCCTCGAGCAGGAGCAAACGCGGGAGAAAATAATTAGCAACGTCAAGACGAGAGCGCGTAGGTAAAGCCGAAAACGAAGCCGCCACTGATGGTGCGATATCGAGCGCAATTCTTCTTTCAAGACGGCCCTATGTCGCTATAAGAATGCACATCGCAGCCACATAGACGTAGCTAGAGCGGGTATAAAAATTCAATAGCCGCCGCTAGCGTCGAGTGCACTTCTGCAGCACGGTTTGCTTGACATACACATGATATAATGCAGCTGGGCTTTTGTGATTAAAAGCACCAGATGTCGCTCTTATACAACGCCGAGCGAGAGAGAGAGAGAGAGAGAGCACGTGTGCGAGCTCTTTTCGCAAAGTCTTGGCGACGACGAGAGCCGAGCCTCCCCACCACTGCGCGCATCGCAGATCTCCGTCGGTGTGTGTACGTACATACATACATACTGTACATAATACAAGCTGCAGGTTGGCTGGCAGTCGACAATATCGACGTAGCTGCTGCAGCGCTATTAAACAGCGGCGGTGGCGGTGGCGGCTCTCGTCGGGGTCCTTGCCCCCTGAGCTCGTATCTAGGTCAGCAGTCTCAACTCTCGCGCCTCTGCACACGCGTATATATATATATAATATGTGCATGTGCACACTTACACGAGCGCATGCATCGACTCGACGCTCGACGGCGGCGCTACTCGCTATGTGCAGTGTGCTTTACTCTGTGCACTCGCTTGCGTAACCATATAGCATGTACTCTGCTAACTCTCGCTAGCTCTCCCTGCGTCCATCTGTGTGTGTGTGTGTGTGTGTGTGTTGTCTGTGTGCGAGAGAACGCGCGATGCGCCCTGTACGTGCATCTCTGCCGGTATCATGCGTTTCTTTTCTCTATAATAGCGTCGAGAAATATCCCGCGAGAAATTAATTAAACTACGATGGCACACATATATAATATGATGTTATATACTCGATAGTATATACCAAGTGTCGCTGCACTAATCCCCCACGCGCCAGATCTTGCAGCCGTAATGATCGACTCTACAAAAAAGTGCAGCTCTACCGCGTCATTTGCCTTTGTATTATTTTACCGATTTCAAAGGACCCAAACGCGAATATCGTGTAGTCTTCTTGTTTTTCGTTCGCTGACTCATCGATAAACACACGATTGTTATCGAGCGATCGAGCTTGGACTTTATTTTCGAAAGATTTGTTTTTTCTCCTTCTGCTCCTCTGCACTTTCTAAAAACGCAGACAAAGATGGGAGCGTCGTTATCGTTAAGAAAGGTAAAATTGTCGACTCTGCTATTTGCGCGATGCAATTGTTTCTCTTTAAAACAAATAAAGATGTAAAAGACTTTGTCGAATAAACGAAATTATTCGTTTTTTCAATTTTTCAACGCTGATAGATCATGCGCGCAGGCGCGCCAAGTTTTCATATACAAGTGCCGCAAACTATGCAGCTCGAGGCGCATATACTTTCCATGTATAGTCTCGTTTTCGCACTCGACAAGCCACCGTGCGATACATAAAGAGAAAGTGTGTCTTCGCTCATATTTACTCATAGGAAGTGAGTTAATGCATGTAAGGGGCGGAAGTAGGAAGTGGTTTGCTTTATATACACGTGTAGGTGGTGAGATTCCATTGGAAACGCAGCGATTTCGTCGCTTTTTTCTCCTTTCGGGTTACTTTATTGTACTTTTGGCTTAATCATTGGTTATTATCATACGTGACCCGAATCAAGTATAGCTCAGCATAGTCAAACTTCGGTTCATTATAAAAATGAACACTCAAATGCCTCGATGGAAATGATAGTACGCGATCGGAAATGAAACGATCGGAGCTTCATATTGGGTAGAGATGGAGCACTTATGAATCGTGGATAGCGTTGGATCGAGCGTGTGCGTATACACTCACAGGCGCGCATTAAGTGCATTATATAAAAGTGACACTTTACTCGGGGCGCAACGAATAAGCGCGAGAGATTTGTGATAGCGTGCGCAAATTTGCGCATTCTCGACTTACACAACTTCCGCGACTGCGTAGGTATTTTCGTCGCTTTGATAAAACCCGGGCGTGACAATGAAATTTGCTCACTACTTGAAATAATATACAAGTACACAGAGTTTGAGTTCATTCAATGACATTGCACTTAGTTTAATAATGGCATTTCAACAAAATTGACCTCAAGCTGTTTTGTTTATCTGAGGCATGTTTGCTGAGTTCACCAATTCGCGTCTCGACCAACACGTGTACAAAGTGAAAAATTGATCCCCGACAAACGAACTTGACGTTTCTTTCATTTGACTCGGATGCAAGAGAAATTTCAACGAGTCAGAGTTAAACAGTACAATCGTTCCTTGACATTTAGCTTATTGTAAAAAAGTCGACGAATTCGACAATGGACGATAATAAAAGAAAAAAAGTACGGGGCGGAAACGTCGCGATTATCAATGTGCGTCCTATCGCGTAACGGTGAGTTGAAAAAAAAGTAGGTAATTCTATCGCGTTTTTTCACGTTAAACATGTGTAGGTGCGCTATATACACGGCAAAACGAGGCGCACACGGACGCACAGCGGCAGAGCACCAAGCAGTGCATTTATCGGAGTGCATATAATGGTGAAAGTGAGTCTCCCACGTATAGGAGCACCAAAACGCTCGCAATGATCCGAGTCTTCTTTCTCCGCGTGAACTCGCGGGTTCATTGTACTTGCATTACAATAGTCATGATCTTCCGGTAAAATATTTTTCTTCGCAGCGAGCTTTGTTTATCTGTTCGCCTGCACAATGCTAGGTGAAAGATGTAATTAGATCTTGATTAGATAATCGTTACATTGTCGCCGCAGCGGACTCTGCGCCGAATCTCATGGCTCTTTTTTCATCTATTACGTTCTGGTAAAGGTATGTTGAAACTTTGAAAATAACGGATGCATACGTGCAGAGCTTTTTACGACGCTTGCTTCGTAACAGATTTACGTAAGTCATTTCAGCGAGACAAAATAGGAAGATACGGATTGATTTTTGTAATTAAAACCTATGTATCGATGCAACGACCCTCAGCAGTATCAATTCGAGCCTGATATCGATAGCAGGTGAGCTCGCGCAGCCAGTGGGACATTTTTGGTTAATTTCTTGTTCAAGTTCCGAACGAATGAACGAATGACTATTGCACCTTCGCCGGTGAACATACCTACTGAACGCATATCATTGCAATGGACGCGGTGATATAACATTTACGAGTTGATCAAACCAGGAACTAGTCATGTACTATGTGGTGGAATGTGCTTCGTGCTGCGCTACAAAATCAACCGGTTAC